GTCTTAAGAAGAAATTATTTAAAAAATTATGTAATATGAATACAAGATGTGAGCAAAGTCCTGAGATGCTGATGCAAGAGCGCCAAAAACTAGCAAGTAAATCTTGAGTTAAGATTACAAACTTTCTGACCTAATATTTATCGAGGCAATACATTTATTTATATTTTGATTTACAAAAGCTGAATTTACAGGCCATTTTAATAGTGGAAGGCTATGGTGAAAACATGCAAGTAGCCCTAGTACACAAAAGACTATTTGTTACACAAATAAATGTCAGTGTGGGTATTTTCATTTCAGAAAACCATTTAAACATCATATCTTTGGAGGTGAGCATAGTGAAGTACAGCTGGCCTTACACTATTAAACAAAGGTGTTTTCCCCTAACAAAGCTTCTTGCTCTAATTTTCTCAAAGTAGCAGAGAATAAGCAGCCTGGATGTTCACATTGTGAACTGCAGATGGCGCTCCAGATCTCAGATGGGAACAGGAACCTGCTGTTGTCATGGTTTCAGGTATCCTGGAGACACAATACTGGATGCTAATTGGTGGAAAGAGACCAAGAGGCAGACGCTGTTGCTTCCTCTCTCCGTTTTGGTTTTTAGCTGTATCTCTATATTTAGCCTGACCTGTAAAACAGAACACTATCATTTACTCCAACAGACAAATATTATAAGATAGACAAAGGCAAACTGAAAAAGCAAACAATACAAAGAAAATGAGTGAACATATGAGTTTAGAAACATAAAAGAGTAGTAGTACTATGCACAAGGTATGTATCACATTGCTTTTTGGCTTTTCTTACACTATTTCTTATACTTTTATATTTTTCATGTGACTTCAGTAAAGTAAGTGCCTAATCCAAAGTCTCAAATCATTTTATCTGTAGTATACTTATGTATCTAAAACTGCTCCCGAACAAACTGCCAGCATCTCTCTTGTTGTATGACTGTGTCTATCTCTGACAGTCTGTCTCTCTCTCTCCTCCTTATTTGGAGTTTCTCAAGGTTATGCAAAGGGTAATCATCACATGACTTCACACTGCACAACTCATGTAATGTTATGTATGCCTGATAAGGTGTTGTTATACAACCAGCGGTTGGTTTTGGGGCATGTATAATGTCTCCCTGTCCCTCCCACTTCCAGCGTTTTAACTGCCACCTCTACTTATATCACAGACAGTATCATCACCCAGCTTATTAAAATCGTATTCTCTGCCACATCACAGGCAACCTCATCCCAGACAATGCTGTTTACAAGAGGGTTCAGCCATTTTATCCTGATAGCTTGGCACTGGCATCAGTCATACAGCCTGCATCTGCTTGCATGGAATTAAAAGAGCTGTTATCCAAACCTCCCTGGAACACACAGGGAGTTTAAATTTAGATGTTGGACAGCAACAGCAGCAGGTACCCCAATAGCTTTTATAACTAAGCAGGCACAACTAAAGCCCACTAATAAATAGCAGCCACTTGATTGGTAGTGATAAAGGACTCATGTCTCTTGACGTATCCCAGTGCCTCCGGTCTGCCACCATGCAGCTGAGAGTTGTGTTACTTTGGATTAAGCTCCTGTATTGTGTTACCTGCCTTTGTCTCTTGACTATTTATGTAATGATGGTCAAAATGTCATTGTTTCCATATTGAGAAACTAACATTTGTGGCTCTTTGTAATCACTGGAGACTGTTGGGTAAAGTTAAATGATGAAGGCTAAACAACTGTACAATCCCCCATTTAAAAATATACTTTGTTTAGCACCTTTCAACAACGGGCAATTTACAGGTACTTACTCTGGCATAAAAGACATCAACACAAGGCAATATAAAAATACATAACTAGGGTTTTAAAAGAATACATTAATGTAAAATATGAGAAATATGAAAAAATAAAGCAGGATTTTGGCTACAAACCCCACAAATATTTCTTAAAGACATTTATCAAAGGCAGTCCAGTTACATGAGGAGGTTGAATGTACTGTTGTGATGTGTCATGTTGAACAACTGCCCGTCTGCTGGCTGGGGAAGCCGGGACCACAACAATTAGACGTTGTAGATGAGCTTGTTTCCAAAGTGATCAATGAAAAGTTAATGTGGAAAACAAACAACTAGAGAATGCTTATTGTGATCTAAAATGGGCCACAGGGTCACTGTTTACAAGACGTGTAACTTGACGAAGTGGAGGCTCATCCTCAGATGGCTGTAGAATATAAAGTGAAAAACTGCATCATAATCCAGTTTTTGAAGATGCTGATAATCCAGAGAATGTGCTGAAGTCTGAACCTGATTATCATTGTCCAGAGGGAGCTACTGGTTAGATTTTGCAGCCGATGCCTTTGTTTCAAGTCTGTGCAAAGCAGAAAATGGTTGGCTGTTTTCACTGTGAACCCACAAGCAGAGATTTTAAATTATGAGGAGAGCGCTCTGGAAAATGTGGATGATTGCACAAAGCAGCACCTGGGTTCTTCCTGGCACATTTTAATCTGTTTTTTAATAAAGAACTTATTGAGAGCTGTTATTACACCACACACACATCCCCTGTGGGGCTGCAGTAAGAAGGAAATTGATCTGTTTCATCTCAAAACAGAACTGAACCAAAATGGATGACTGACTCAATGCTGTCGAGAATCATCAATTGTCTGCCAGAAAACTGTGGTTATAACTGAGCTAAATAAACTTTCGTGAAGGTATTTTTCTGTTTTCTGTATTGGTTGTAAATGAAGACAAGAGCACTGCTCTGCAGGCCATCGGTATTCAAAGTAACCTGTCTATCTCAGCTTGTGCCAACAGTAGAACATTAAAGCAAAGATGCTCCCCCTGTTTAATTTGAGTGCACTGACCAGTGTGCCCGCCATTTATCACCAGTTTTTTCATGCCTTGCATTTACAAAGGAGTTTAATTTAGGATACAATGATTATTAATTCATGTGATACTTGTATGTGTCTCAGCACATCAGGGAGCAGCTCTGAAAGGGAGCGCAGATTCAGCCTTTGATCGACGCTTTTATTTGATGTGTTGTGTCTTGCTGTGGTAGAAACTGGGATCTGCATTTTGAACAGTGGGCCAAATGAACCAGGTGCTGGATTTGTGACAGTTTTCACAGAGAGTCACACACAGTTACAAGAAAGAAACAAAAAGTTAAGACACACCACTGTACTGGGTGTCATATTCCTTTATTAGCAAACACCAGCCCTGAGCATGAGGAGCTAGAGGAGTGTAAAGAGGTTTAAGGGGGTTAGGGGTTTGATGAGTTTCCTGTACCAATTCTTTTTCTTTGGAGCAAGTTTGTTCTTCAGCTCTTCCAGGTGAGTCTTCATAGAGCTCTTTGTTGTCTCCCACTCCTGCTCTATTTTCTGCAGGGATTTCACCATCTCCTCCAGGAGGGAAGATTTCTCCTGCTGCCATTCTTTAGCTCTTCTTCAGTTTTGTTTTGTGCAGCCAGGAGACTGTCATTTTCATTTTGCAAATACTTAACCTCAAACACATAGGAGGCTTTTGATTCCTCCATTTCCTCCAACAGGGAGGTTTTCTCCTGCAGCAAGTGGGGGTCCTTAGTATCTAGAGCTTCTGCCTTTCTGAGGACAACATCAATCTTTTTGGTCTCCACTCTATGTTTCTCCATCTGGGCTTGTTGTTGGGCCTGGGCTGTTTTTGTGGCTAATGTCTTTGCCTCCAATATGCTTTCAATTAGGTCTTTTTCCTGCTGCTATTGGAGCCGTTCGTTCTGCCCCTGCTCTTTTAGCTTTTTATCACGTGGATATGCATTAGGGCACGGATTCCAATTACAACTAGTCAAATATATTTGCTTTTTAATGGGCTGTATCAAACTGTTAAAATTAAAGTGTTAAAGCACTGGTAACCACAAAAACCCAGTGTTGCAATTTGATAATGCTTTTATAAAATCCTCTAAAAACAAACAAAATTTCAGAAAGTCATAATTTTCTAGGTCATAAGCTAAAACAGTCTAAAAAAAGAGCACACATTTTTTACCTCAATAAAATGAATTATTGGGTTTCAGAGGGTTAACACATCTGTTTTTAGAGTGTTGCTGTTCATAGTGGGAAAGGTTGCTGCTAGTTTTATGTGGTCCCTGTATCCCAAAATGTACTGCACAGGTGTGCAAACAAACACAGCAGTGAAAATGCCATACAAGGAAACATAAACCCTGCTGAGTGATGATTGAATGACTTATATTTGTAAGCAAATAAACGGTACCTTATGGAGAGTCACGGGTTTTAAGGGTTGTTTTTATTTTGTTCATGGGATACATGTTAAGAGGTGACATCATGGCCAAGCTACCAATACGCACCAAATACTGCAGAGCGATGTATTTGGTGTGTATTGGTAGCCTCTCTACAAAACGCTGAGCCAATGAATCTGCAGAAGAAGCAGCGCCAGGAGCCAATGACTGATTTGCCGTCACCAGTCTCCGGTTGCTATTTGTGTCAGGCAGCGCACTGCTGCTGCGTCAAGCTGAACACAAACATTCACAATGAGACCGGATGTTAGTTGGTTGACACCGCTTTAAAAATCTGCTAATGGGAAAGAAGAAAACAGTCACCACGTAAACAGGCAGTTAAGACTGCTATGTACTACTGGCTGAATTTCAATAAAGGTGCTTCAGCCTGTTCTCTAGCTTTGTTTGCTAACTGATACTATTTGACTCAGAAAATGGGTAATTTATATGGACTCTTCAAAAAGATTAATTCTTTTCCTACAACAACATCTGATATAGTGGTGATAATTAAATTTGCAGAAATGTAAATCTCTTAATAATATAATTAGTAGTGCAAATTCCTTCTGAAAGCACATATGAAATAATCCTGTGATAGCTGATGAGGTTCTGATATGTTGTTAAACTATCAGAGCAAAATTCATGAGCTCATAGTAGAAAAGCTATAATGACGGCATGAATAAGATGATAATGATTCATGAGAATTTTGGGCCATTTTATCTCTCCTATAGGACGTCTTCACTTGCCGTGCTTTTATTTAGAAGACCACAACCGGAAGTGCGAGATTATATAACAGGTGTGTCGACACAATCTAGTTTCCAGGGTGGATCAGAAATTGACGTTTCTCTCTCTCGCTCTTCAGTTTCAATTCAGTCATATCGTAGCGATCTGGCAGTCGGAGGTACATGCGTCTTCTAAGTAGAGAGACATCAGCATCTTCTGAGGCCGTTTTGTAAGCTCTTGAAAAGACCAGAAGATCCGGGGGAGTCGTGCGCCAACCAAAAGTAGCCAACGTATCGGTAAACGAATTGCAGCGACCCCGCAAACACACAGAAATGGACGAAAAGGCGTTTACGAAAGAACTCGATCAGTGGATCGAGCAGCTCAACGAATGTAAGCAGCTCACGGAGGGACAAGTCAAAACACTGTGTGAAAAGGTGAGATGTTAAAAAAAAAAAATCACCCTTTAACTGACTGTTAGCGGCTTCTCTCGCCTTACCGCCACCTTCCAGACATTCTTAAAATGGCGTCCATAGTGTACATTTCACTGCGCGGTGCGTACATTTGACCAACACTTTTTTTAGGTTACTTACACCGCTGCCCGTTAAAAATGTGTGGTGATTATGAATTATATACCCAGCTTTTTCGGTTACTATGGGTTTAATGGTCAGGTAGGGTCATATTTATTGTAAATGTGTCATAGCACATTTACAGTCCTGACCTGTAGCATTTTAGCTAGCTGTGCTAGTAAAGGTCCATTAATGTGGCTGACCGGCTAATTACTGCGCATTATGTCTCATGTTATCTGTAGGTAAAACTACGTGGTAGAAAGGGAAAAGGTCAGTGCATAAAAATATTTCAAAGAGTAATGCGTTTCAGTCTTTCTGTACTGCAAGACCTTATATAATATGCTACAAATTCAAGCCATGTAAAGGCGACGTTAGGTGTATATACTGCTCAGTTAAAATGTGGGTGAGCTAAGGTAAAGGTGGTTTAACGTCCTCTGTTCATGTATAGATAGATGACAAATGAACCGAAAATCTCAGCTAAAGTGAACTGAACTGAATCTGCTCAGACCACATGCTGACCTCCAGCTCTAATGTCTGGGCTTTAAAGGAAAACGTCATCCATTAACTCCTAACACATTTTTTGGTTGTTTATTTTGCAACAGCCTTTTAAAATATTTTTATCTGGTGAAAACTTAAGGTCTCCAGAAAGTCCTACAACCCAAATTGCACTATATCTTGTCGCTGCCTTATGTCATGGTCTATTAACACTTCACTGGAGAAATTGACACCTGTCTCTCATTGGATGTCACTTTTGGAAGTCCCGACTGAAGCAAAACCTGATGTCAGTTTATGATGAATTTGCTTTTTGGTATCCTAGTTTTCTTTAAATTCAAATTTGTGTTAAGTTTAACCCCGACATTGGAGACTAAATTTGGAGTGACGGTTTTTAATTGCCTTTTTCCACATCTGTTTTCCTTTCTATACCCCCTCAGCTCTTAAGCGCACTACTATGTTTGGAGTATAGTTGGCTTAATGTTAAGGGCACATAATTCTCATGTGGC